ATAATTATTTGAATTATTGACACATTCTGTTATTTAAAAATACTAGTAAATACTTTTTCAAAGTATTTATGATTTTTCAATAGAAGCCACATGGTGATTTAATCAGTACAATAAATACAAATGTCACCCTTTGGTGGCATATTTTGATTAACATTTCTTGTACGAGTTGTTCTTGTTATGAGTGGAGAGGCATAACACTGGACTCTACGTAAATAACATGTTATAATGTTTGTTGTTTGACACTCACCGTCTGTTTATTTTGTCATTTAAGTGTTGTCTGATCTTGCACTTGTTTCTTAGTCGTCAAAACGTTTTATTCACGCGTACGGTTATTCCAAGTGTTTCATTAGGGCATATGCTAATCTCGTTCAACCAGACTCTTGTTGTCTGCGCAAGCTACGCCGAAAGCGTCTGGGTGAACGAGACTAGGGATAGGACGGAAACTACACATTCGGAACACCTTGGACTGTCATCAAATCAACTGAGGGTGAATGAATGTTACAATGTCTAAATTATTAAGAAGTCTGATCAACGTATTTTCAAACACACAATAAGGATACATTATAATTTAACTTTCTACTTTGTTATTAAAACGTTTAAAAAAAGTATACTACAATGGTAAGTAAATTGTAGATATCTCATATAATGGATTGATATTGAGAGAAAAAATCCGGAAAATAATTGATTGGAAAAGAAAAAACTGTAAAACAACCGGATTAGACTTATTTCGTATATGAATAATTCAAATATTTAAAATGTAACAAATGTATAAATGATAAGGATGGTGGAAGCTGGTATATTATATCAGCGGAAACGACTTCATTTCTAATATTGATTAATGACAGTTTTGAAGTGAACGTTATGAAAGATAAGGATTTGAAAGGGGATTTTTAGCATTAAAATTAAGAAATTAAGGGTGGAACTACTTATACTTATAATTGTTATATCAATAACTAATTATATAGCAATTTATAGTCTATATTCTGTAGGCCAGATATTAATGGTAAAAACAGAAAGCTATTAATGACATTAAAATAGTAAGTGTGTATTTTGTGGTGATTTCAACTTGCTACTCGGCTCAGATTCATACTATGCCGAAATACTACAAAGAAATAACCGACCCAAAATCCTTATGGACTACATCAAGAGTAAATTAACAAAATGATGTCATTAAATGTCTGAAATTAGAGAAATATTACTATATATAATATTGATAGAGATATAGCCAGTTACACTGTCCCATTTATCCATCAGAATTATGAAAACTAACCTGATAAATGTTGCTCATTCTCTCCCCTGGACGTTAGTCCAGTGCCCGCATTCATGCAATCGTTCTCGTATTTCTTGTTTGTTAAAAAATAATAGTAAATACAATGTATCTAATTTTGTCATTGATTTGGAAAAAAATAAATAGTGTTTTTAATGTTTACATTTGACTTTTTGATAGTTTAACATGATTTAACCGAGTTACAAAGATGTTAGTTGGAGCTCAGAATCCACGCTTAAGCATGAGAAGTTTTCATGAATACGGGACCTGTTCTATAGTGGATTTGCCAGTACGGTTATCAAACTTTCATATAAAATATTTCATTCCCTTATACTTTATTTGTTTACCCGTCATTCACATAGCTGTTTTTCATGCAGTTTTTGAACACTCCATTTTTTATTTTTTTTATTTTAAAAAAAAATCTTGTTTTGTCTGGTATTTCTTAGCGTTTAATTAATTTTATAGCCGACTATAATTCAATACTGTAATGAGGTGTTTTTCTCCGCGAAAGGAAAACGTTTAAAAGTTTATGAAACAAAGACGCCATTATTTTGTCCCTCAGATTACTGTTAAGTCAAAGAGTAAAGCTAAAGATCTTGAAATTGAATGTCTTTGTATTTTACAGCGTATACGGTAACATATGAATTACCACATAGTGAGGGGGGCATATAGTAATACCGTTGTCAGTTCATCCGTCAGTGCGTCCGTAAATGCGTCCGTCCGTCCGCCTGTCAGTAGTAACAAGCTTGTGTACAAGATATCTAAAACAAACATGAACACATTTATTTCATATTTACACTATAATATAGTAATAGTTAGATCTACAACACTTTAGATTTGGTAGCCATCGACCAAGCTCACTGGGTTTTTTATTTACTTATTTACTAACATAAATCGGGTTGTTTCTTTATTCTGCAGTCTTGAAAGAATTCATGCGGCTTATTAAAAAGATTAAAAAAAAGTCCACATCTTCCTGTGATAATTTAACTTTAAGGATCTTCATACCACCTCAAACAAACTATGAAGTCATGGTCCAGTCGCCACAGTTATATCTTAAGTGATATTAAGTGTGTGGTACTGTGTGTACGAGAAACCTACAGCAGGGACAAGGACCGTTAATGTATAACTGGATGGCAGGAATACGTCACGGAATAGTGGCAATAGTTACATCTGCATAGACTGAAATACGTTCATAAAACAAGTTTTAATATTTGTTCAACTTGATATGTTATATTATGTTTTTGATTATTTCGACCAGTAAAATGAGAGATTGACACTTTTGTTTTGAATTTTGTTTTGATTTTTTATTATTTTTTTACTAATAAAGTTACACGAGTAAATGAGTAAATGTTAGTTTGCAATTAAATTAAATGAGCAAATAAAATAAAATAAAATATATTTGAAAATTATAATAAAACATCATCATGTTGTATCAGATACAATTTATAAAATGTAACAAAGCTAAGAAATACGCTGTTTAGAAATATCTGTCTATAGTGGTATCAACTTAAAAAAA